TTATCACCAAGCCATTCCAGATTTATAAATACCATGGCCTTCAGACTCTTGATCCCTGCTAACTGTTGATAAGAAGAGAAATAAATTTAAAAATTATCATCTGGCAAAAAGGAAGGGATTTCACTGCCAGCACATACTAGATAATTAGCCTCCTACTCTTACTGCCTCAGTAAAGCTTCCTCTTTCTTAGTTAAATCTGTTGATTAATGAATTGATTCATTTCAGCCATTCTGTTGTAAAAGTGTGGCCAATCACTGCCTTGTAATAAGAAATGAAAAACTGATATTTGCAGAATCAGCATCTAGTTACAGCACTATTCAGCACAACTGAGAAGGGTAAATGAGTTTATCTTTAGAAGACAAAATACAAGAGGTCAGCAATACAAGCAATCTCCTGGAAGGCTCCTGTTATGCACCTGTTGTGAGTCTCTACTTAGTAGCAATAGGAACCCCAAGCAGATAAAGGAGAATTGTCATCCTGCAAGATTCTAATGGTTCCACAACTCACTTATAATGCCAGCCTAGTATGAAAGCTGATATTGCTCTAATTGCCCGAGAAAGCAAACAAGGTAGTCTGGAAGCGTGTAGGTTATCATAAAGCAGGCCATTCATAAACTTGCTATTGCTCTTGCATATGAAGACACAGATTCACAAATTTCTATCTATGGAGGACTCTGTCTATGGAGGACTAGAAGGTTTGGGAAACTAATCCCAAACTGGGATGGATGGATGGATGGATATACATTCATACACACACACACACATATACATACACAGCACCTACTTCCTACAGCTGAAAGAGAGTGACTGGCCCAAGATTACCCAGCTGGCCTTGTGCCTAAGGCAGGACTAGAATTCAGAGTCTCCCAGTTTCTAGCCTGGTGCCTTAACCACTATACCAAACTGGCTCTCAGTGGGCATAAAGCAGAGCCCAAAAGCACTACCATCTCCACCCATCCTCATGCACTCTGATGTGCTCAGCAGAGGCCCATTCAAATTGCCTGTCACCAAGATCATCTAGGTCACTGACTAGGAAAGTCCCACATCTATGAAATCAGCTTCTCCTGGAAATTAA